TTTTTCAAATAATGGCAAAAGTTAAAGCTTTGGTAATTGTCTGGAATGATCAATATTTCTGTGTTCAACGCTCAAAGAAAAAATCCCATGTGTAATACCTTTTGGCGAATAAATTAGTAGATTGCAACAGATTTTAAAAAGATTTTAAAAATGTATTGCAATACTTGAAATGTATGGATGTTTTTAATAAATGTTGTATGTTCAATATATGGCATACCAAATATTCTTGTAAGTAGCAAAAGCTAATTGATTCAAACACCGCATTATAATCCAACTATTAAACATATTTAGTTAAAGCACATTCAATAAATATACACTCTACTTGTTGAAAGCTTTTTGTGTAGCTAGCTAACACTAACTAATTGCCAATTCGGTTTATCAGATTGAATATCTAATATTTGTCACAAGGTTATTGTTGTAAAAAAAAATTGGACGAGGGTTACAGTATGTCATCTTGAACTCCCCAAGGAAAAGTGGTTAAAAACTGAATAAAACAGAGACCAATTAATAATAAGATATCTGATGTTTGGTACCCTTTTTATAAAATGAGATTCCACAGGATGAATTATTGAGGACACTTTATTTTCATGGCAGACTCACAATTAAAATTATAGCTTTTATATTTCTCAATGAGGACAAAATATAACCAGAACAACCAGCAGGATCTTTAATAACTTTCGTCATAATAAAAGGACAATTAAAAGAAAAAGGAAACAATTATTAAAAAATATTGCATACCTCCAAAAGCATAGGAACTAAGGAAGGATACCTTCTACAAATCTAATGAAACTGGATTAGGAGCCTTACAAGTTGTAATTGCCATAGCACTATTTTTTAGTGATAATGTGCAGCTGAATAAGTAGCTTGGCCATTGATGTATCCAAAAATATAATTTGCTCAAATAAAATGTTGAATCTTGGCTGTAATGGCCGGTGACCACAGAGGGTTATTCAGTGATGTAGTGATATTATTGGGTGGATAGAGTCGAGGAAATTTCTTAATACATAGATGTTGACTATTATTTTAATTAAAAACAAAATGATCTGCAGATGTTTTGGGGCCTGCATGTGGTTACTGGTTGTCCATTCTTGGTTCTGAATCTTGCTTTTCCAGGATTACAAATTTCAGGAAAAGTTTCATGGACAGAGAAGGCTTCCTGCCGCAGAAGTGTTGTGTTCTGCATTTGGAGAACAATGAGGATAATAACAGGGCATTTGGTGGGGGTGGAACTAATGTTCTCATTGCTAATCTTCCCTCTCAGGAGCATAGAGCATAAGTTGTTTAGGGTGGCTGCCTCCAATAATAAGAGGAGAGTTTAAGAAATCAGAATATGAGATTGTGGGCCAAATGACATGTTATGCTTAATGAATAGCATTTAGTTCTATTTTAAGTATTGTTATTAGTTACAGATGTATGGGCATTCCTTTACTGATAAAGCACTGCATTGAGATAGAAGATTTATCTCTTTTATTCTCATTGCAAGTGGAACTAAAATGCCACAAATACTAGAAAATGGGCAAAAAAAGGATTCATTGAATACTTTTTTCCTTAAGAAGGCTAGGGATACAGTCCAATCAGATTATACAGTATAGAAGGAAAGTTTATGTTTTCCTCCCTCTTTCATACAGTATTTCCAAAAAAGATTATCATCATTTGCATATAATTTAACTGCATGCTGTGTATACTGTGTGTTTTGGCTCATGAAATAAATCCATGACTGGAAAAGAAGTGATGTGGCCAGGATTCACACATCATATTAAGCAATAACCAAACAAACCATATTATAATATGATATGTAATCTCAGCCACAGGATATAAGGATGTCATACTGAGGCAGGGAATATGAGGCAAAAGGAGGAAGGAGATAAACTGTTCCATATTTTGTCATAGTAATCCTGGTTTGGGAAAGAGAGAATTAATTTTGATATATTGATGATTATTATGACCAGTCAAAAAACTTTTTGAATGATGATAGATTTATGGTTGACCTATCCTTCTTTTCCATCTACTAGAACACTTTTATCCCCTTTTATTCAGGTTTGAGATTAGCAATAGTGACATATATACNCAGAATTTTTGAATAGATGATTTCCTGTGGTTTGTGACTGCAGATATTAAACGTGACATTAGAATTTATTATGAAGCTATACAGGGCATTCCTGCCATTGTACAGGTGTACTTTTAAGTGTATCTAAACTCTGATAAACAACAGATGATTACAAATAACAATACTGACTTTTATATGAAAGCTTATTTGAATAACTAACAGTGACAATAGCATTTTCTAGCAGCTAGTACATTTTTACTCCAGCTGAATTAGTATACTATGGAAGCAGATATTCAATATTTCAAATTTATAAGGCTACATTACTTTGACAGGTGAGAAGATGGCTACAATTTTACACTGGACTTCCAAGTAACATTTCCTTAAATTCGATTTCTATCTAACTCTCCCTTGTTGTTTCCTATAAACTGTGACTGGAAGTTTTCCAGTCATTATTGAATAATCACAGATAGTTCCAAAAGCTACTGAGAATTAAAAAAGCTAACATAAGAACAGCTTTTGTTTATCATTTATTCCCCAGAAGCATTAATCATTAAAACCTGATTTAACAGATATTCTAATCCTCCTACCCTTCTCAGTATATATTGCCTTGTAATTTCAGTTCATAAACCCTGGAAGAGGACTTTTTTGAATCATACAGCTGAACTACACCTTATTTAAATTCATTCTGTTGGCCCATCAAAAGATTGTAGGGGAATTCGATCAGAAATGGGAAAGCACTTCCATTTATCAGCATCAATATTTTTTCTTGAAGAGAATTAATTTTCAGATCGATGGTTGGATGCAAACTTGTCTCTGCACATGGAATAGGTCTGTTTCTGTTTGTGGAGAGTACTGAGGCTAAGCAGAATTTTTTCACTATACTGGAGGAATGTAAGGGAACCATGATTACCCTAGATTTTCTCTTCCCTCTTATGGCTCTACCATTATTTCCCCAGTTTCAGAGGGGGTACTATGCTCCAGTGCCATCTGTTTTAGGAAGCTCAGAAAACTACATAAGGAAAGGAGGAGCAACAAATGTATATGTANCCCTCAGGGAAAAGGGCGGCCTACAAATTTCAATAAAATCAAATCAAAATCAAAATCAAATCATTTCCCGGAATTTGCCTTGCCTATGAAGAAAGATGCTATGAATCAGAGATAGGTTCCTATCAGTTTGGACCAGTTCGGCCGAATAGGTAGTAACTTGGCCTGCCACACCCCTGAACCGGTTCTATCAGTGGTGCCATAGGGGCCACCATCTTTTTTTTTTGCTTCTGCGCATGCGTTTAAGTTTATTTTTACTACTGTGCATGCATGCAAAGTGCGCACATGCCCAAAGTGCATCTCTGAGCGAATCGGCAGCAGCAGAAGCTGGAACCCATCCCTGCTATGAACCCCCAAAATAGGATGTAAGAGAGAATGAGGGCTATATATACCATAAGGAGGGCGGTAATAAAGATGTTGGAATTAGAAAATATTATGGAAATCAGTTTTAATAAATTCTTTGAACTGTCATCCTTATTTAAAATCAGCAAAACTAGTTGTAAATTTTATTTATTTAAAATATACACCCACCCTTTCCCATCTTATAGTACTAATAGGCCTACAAACATGCATGCAATAAACAACTAGTAAATAGCAGCAGCAGAAAAATCTTGGGGAAAAATAACTGTAAAAGATCTGGCTAAAAAAAAATAGTTTAAGTCCCCACCTAAATTACAACAAGGAATTCATTCCAAAGACAAAAGATTGATGAAGATCAGTACTGAATTTTTTCTTTGTTATGGTGAAGCTTAGATAAAGGAGGTGCTATTAATGTTGATGTTTAGATATTTCAGATGGGGTAGATTACAAGTTCCACAGGGAATCAAGGATTATGGAATTGTCTATATAGAAATAAGCAGTCCAATAAAGAGCTAGATCAAAACTATGCAAGGCTTTGCATGCCACATCCTGAATTGGGCCTTCCAACAACTTGTAACCAGGGCAAACAGTAATTGGTACCCATTTTTAAGATAATTGTGATGTGGCATATCTTGCCGGCACTGCTCAACTCTCACACATACATTACTACATTGTGGGATTGTTTCGGTTTCTGAATAATGTGCAAAAACTACCCTATAAAGAATGCAATGGAATAATCTAATAAGTATTCTCATCCGATTCCAAGTATGGGGTCAACCTATTAAATCACTGTAGCTTCATTCCCATTACCTTCAGATTAAGTCTTCTCATGCTACAATCAGGCCACCTTGAAAAATAATACTTAAGGGTCCCCATGCCATGAGAAATTGGAGTGGAGACCACTTGGAAACAGACCCTCAACTTGTGTGAAAGCTTACCCTATGAAATACTTTTGACTCCCACCAGGAAAAGTTAAACTGAGCATTAGTGGTGCTGTTGTGCTGCCTTTTTGGTTTGGGGAACCGTTTATATTGGTTGTAGTTTTCTTTTTGATACAAGGACAGGGTTTTTAAATGTTACAATGTTGTTTTTGTTCAAAGGTTAGATCTCTACACAGTACAAGTGGCCCCGGAGTTATTCATATGGATTAGAAACATTTGAGTGGAGTATAATTAAAATGTGAACATTACTGCTTTTAATTACATAATCTGCATGGATCTGACCTTTCTTGGATTAGTCTGTATGCCTGTAAATGATTTCAGACTAGAATTAATATTGAAAGTGCTGCTCAGATTTTTGTTAGAGATGGGCAAAATTCCATATTATTTTCATGTAATCTCTAGCTGTGAAGTTCATAAACTTATTGCAGCCTTCTACCATGTGGTATTTTCCAGCTGTGCTGCACTTCAGTTCTCATCATCCTCAAAACTGTATAGTCAAAACAAAATATTGCATCTTTTTAAAATAAGTAAAACTCATCAATAGTTTGCCGGCAGCTGCTAAAAAAGCGATGTGCCCTTAACATAGTTTCCCTCTTTGTTTTCTATAGGCCTCTTAGCTGCCGTCTTGCTATTTTCATTTCTGATGACAACTATCACGGAGCACTGCTAGAGCTCAGAGTCAGCCTGTGACGGGGCCAGGTAACTTCTACATATTTAAGTAAAACGTTTTTTCTTGCCTGCCTTTCTCCGTTTAGTGTCTTTGTAGCTCAAGCTTTTGTCTGGATGTGATGTTCAGGCAATACAAAATAAGTGCACATTTTTAAATTTCATTATTTAACAACATATATTTATGACGTTGAAAACATTGTTTGGTCTGTAAAACTAAGATCTATTTTATTACAACAGAATTTTTGAATAGATGATTTCCTGTGGTTTGTGACTGCAGATATTAAACGTGACATTAGAATTTATTATGAAGCTATACAGGGCATTCCTGCCATTGTACAGGTGTACTTTTAAGTGTATCTAAACTCTGATAAACAACAGATGATTACAAATAACAATACTGACTTTTATATGAAAGCTTATTTGAATAACTAACAGTGACAATAGCATTTTCTAGCAGCTAGTACATTTTTACTCCAGCTGAATTAGTATACTATGGAAGCAGATATTCAATATTTCAAATTTATAAGGCTACATTACTTTGACAGGTGAGAAGATGGCTACAATTTTACACTGGACTTCCAAGTAACATTTCCTTAAATTCGATTTCTATCTAACTCTCCCTTGTTGTTTCCTATAAACTGGGATTGTAACTGGAAGTTTTCCAGTCATTATTGAATAATCACAGATAGTTCCAAAAGCTACTGAGAATTAAAAAAGCTAACATAAGAACAGCTTTTGTTTATCATTTATTCCCCAGAAGCATTAATCATTAAAACCTGATTTAACAGATATTCTAATCCTCCTACCCTTCTCAGTATATATTGCCTTGTAATTTCAGTTCATAAACCCTGGAAGAGGACTTTTTTGAATCATACAGCTGAACTACACCTTATTTAAATTGATTCTGTTGGCCCATCAAAAGATTGTAGGTGAATTCCATCAGAAATGGGGAAGCACTTCCATTTATCAGCATCAATATTTTTTCTTGAAGAGAATTAATTTTCAGATCGATGGTTGGATGCAAACTTGTCTCTGCACATGGAAAAGGTCTGTTTCTGTTTGTGGAGAGTACTGAGGCTAAGCAGAATTTTTTCACTATACTGGAGGAATGTAAGGGAACCATGATTACCCTAGATTTTCTCTTCCCTCTTATGGCTCTACCATTATTTCCCCAGTTTCAGAGGGGGTGCTATGCTCCAGTGCCATCTGTTTTAGGAAGCTCAGAAAACTACATAAGGAAAGGAGGAGCAACAAATGTATATGTA